AAAATGGTACAACCACTGGAAAATAATTTGGCGGTTCTTCAAAAATTTAAACAGTTACAGCATGACTCAACAATTCTAATATGGATATATATACTCGAAAGATTTGAAAACGTGTTCATACAAAAACTTGTATGTGAATGTTCACAACAGCTTTAGTTACAATAACTAAAAAGTGGAAACAATCCATAAATCAACTGTACTTCAATTTTTAAAAAAAGGAAACCAAATTTCCATCAATTGAACAAATAAACAAAATGTGGTTTATTCATACAATGGGATGTTCTTCATCTATAAAAATGAATGAAGTATTAATGCATGACAAGGTGAACAATAAAAACATTATGTTAAATGAAAGAAACCAGTCACAAAGATAGCATATTGTATGATCCTATTTATATGAAATATCCAGAATAGGCAAATATGTGGAGACAGAAAGTTGATTAGTGGTTGCTTAGAGTTGGAGATTGGGAGTGGGAAATGGGGAGTGTCTGCTTTTAGTGTAACGAAGATGTTTTAGAATAGATAATGGTTTAAAAAAAATCATAGTGGTCACACAACTGTGAATATACTAAAAACCATTGAAGTGTCCAGTTTGAATGGGTGAATCATGCAGTATATGTATTATAACTTAAAGCTCTTTAAAAGAGAGAGAACTGAGGAGTTCCCTGGTGGCACAGTGGATATGATTTAGCCTGCTAATGCAGGGGACATGGGTTCCATCCCTGGTCTGGGAAGATTCCACATGCTATGGAGCCCATGTGCCACAACTACTGAATCCTTGCTCTAGAGCCTGCAAACTGGAAAAACAGAAGCCACCACAATGAGGAGTCCATGCACCACAATGAATAGTAGCCCCCGCTTACCACAACTAGAGAAAGCCTGTGCAAAACAACCAAGGTACAGCACAGTCAAAAATAAATAAACAGATATAAAGGATTTTTAAAAGAGAGAGATGAGAATATTCTTGCCTCCTGGCACTGGAACGGCTTCCTGGAGTTTCCCATGAATGCCTTCCTCTGGAATAGGAGCTCCATGAAATGAGAGCTCTAGTGAAGTATCCATTAAAACCTATGTCAGACACACACACACACACACCCTTCAAGTTAATGGTATGTGAACAGGAGCAGGCCTTGAGCAGAGTAATTCCATGCACAAGTTCTGCACTGGCAGTAAGGATTGTGGAAATGGTGGCTTGGTACTCAACATCCCTTGCTTCCTCCTAGCATGCCTTCTGGCACTGTGAAAAAAAAGCTACATTTCCCAGACTCCCTTGCAGCTAGAACTCTGTGAATATGGTTCTCCTAATCCATATACAGTTGGGTGAGATTTGGGAGGTGAAAATAAGAAGGCCAAAGACTCCAAGTCAGCTTTTTTTGCAACAGTATCAGCAGTGGAACCATAGTCAAAGTTTGGAGCATCTTTTTTTTTTTTTCCTTGCAGATCTGGCATAGGTCTGGAGCCAGTACTTACAGATTCTCCACCTTTCCAAGTGAAGCAAAGGGAGCAACTCTCCAGGCTGGTCAGTTCTGTGGATTTGTCCCTGAATTACTCTCAGAGGCCTTTTCTAGAACCAGCTCCCTGTCCCTTCTTATTATTTTGGAAGCATTTAAAGCCATGTATGACATTCCTTTCCACTTGGCTTGCATGCATACTAAGTTGCTTCAATCATGTCCAACTCTGTGCAACCCCATTGTCTGTAGCCTGCAATGCTCCATAGCAGTTTATTTATTTGCAACTGAGTCTTAAAGAATACACCTGCTTTGCCCGAGTTGTCCTGCATGAAGACAAGCAATCAGTCATCCTGAACCTCTGTATCCTCATCTTTAGAATGGAAGTAAGAATACCCTTATGGCAGAAAGTGAAGAGGAACTAAAAAGCCTCTTGATGAAAGTGAAAGAGGAGAGTGAAAAAGTTGGCTTAAAGCTCAACATTCAGAAAACTAAGATCATGGCATCTGGTCCCATCACCTCATGGGAAATAGATGGGGAGACAGTGGAAACAGTGTCAGACTTTTTTTGGGGGGGCTCCAAAATCACTGCAGATGGTGACTACAGCCTTGAAATTAAAAGATGCTTACTCCTTGGAAGGAAACTTATGACCAACCTACACAGCACATTAAAAAGCAGAGACATTACTTTGCCAACAAAGGTCCATCTGATCAAGGCTATGGTTTTTCCAGTGGTCATGTATGGATGTGAGAGCTGGACTGTGAAGAAAGCTGAGTGCCAAAAAATTGATGCCTTTGAACTGTGGTGATGGAGAAGACTCTTGAAAGTCCCTTGGACTGCAAGGAGATCCAACCAGTCCATCCTGAAGGAGATCAGTCCTGGGTTTTCATTGAAAGGACTGATGCTGAAGCTGAAACTCCAATACTTTGGCCACCTCATGTGAAGAGTTGACTCCTTGGAAAAGACCCTGATGCTGGGGGGGACTGGGGGCAGGAGGAGAAGGGGACGACAGAGCAAGAGATGGCTGGATGGCATCACCGACTCAATGGGCATGAGTTTGAGTAAACTCCAGGAGTTTGTGATGGACAGGGAGGCCTGGCATGCTGCGATTCATGGGGTCGCAAAGAGTCGGACACGACTGAGCGACTGAACTGAACTGAAGAATACCTCACTGAGGATTAAATAGGAAGTATTTTAAGAAGCTATCATGCTACTTGACAATAGTTTCATGAACTGGAGCTCTTTGGTTGAGCTCACGAATCATTGCAGCTTGTACTCCTGTGAAGTAACAAACAGTCTCAGTCTGCATCCTCCTTTCTCTCAGAAATTTACCCTGACCTTTTCTATCTCTGCGTGGTTAAAACTCAGAGCCAAGAAGGGGTAGGGCCAGTTTTGCAGGGCAGGGGAGAGACCACCAACTGGGGCTTGGGTGATCTAGGTACCAGTAGCCCTCTTTTACAGATGAGAAGACTGAGGTTTAGGGAAGATAAAGGACTTGCTTAAGATCAATAAGCCATGAAAGCAGAGAAGGGATCTAAAGACATTTTGTCTGACTCCAGAGTGTGAAGCCTTTCATCAGCACACAGTACATACACCTGTTACTTTTGGCATGTGATCCACTCCCCTTTCAGTCTGAGGAAAGCAGCTGGCAAACTTCATTTCAAAGACATATTATCTCAACAGGCAGGCCCTTGGATGGCTCAGTGGTCAAGAACATCTCTCCAGAAAACTGGGGCAACTTGGGTACCACAAAGAGCATTCAGAAGGTGGCAGGTCCATTGCTAGGATCTGGCTGAGATGACAGCCCTGATTTCTTGCCCAAGGAGTCAGGAGAAAAATATCTATTCACTCGGTTGACATCGACCTACAACAAGCTGTACACGCGGTGCCGCAGGGTTTGCAGCAATGTATGCTCCAACAGGGAGCCCAGGCAGGGATGGTTACTCCGCCCTCCCTTGCCTGCCCATGCAGGCCTCGGAGCTCTCCAAAGACATCTTGCCAGGGCCCTAGGACTTTCACACCTTCAGAGAGCACCCCCCCCACCCGCCCACTGCCAGTCCCCTTCCCACCAATTGCCCACCTTTAAGGTACACTGGGCAGCTTCCTCCTCTAGGACAGAACTCAGTTCAGCAACCTCTCCCACCTCTGAGGGTCTGCAGCCCTCATTTCATGCAGACTGCCCCTCAAGGGCAGAGCAAATCCTGCCTTGTGTCCTGATTACAATGGGAAAGTAGGAGGCCTGGGCTGACTTCAAACCTACATCAGCCCCACTGTTCTTTCATGTTATTGAGTTTCTATGAACCTCTTTCTTAACCTGTGAAAAGTTACTAATATCTACTTTGCTGGAGAAGTAAGCATGTACTGGGGCTCCCATTCAGTAGATGGTCATTCCCTCCTCCTGGCCTCTCTCCTGCCTTTCAGATTATACCATCCTTCAGGGCAAGAGACAGAAACTTTTTATCTCTTGATTCACAACCACACCCATCCACACCTGCCCATGGAGGCTGCCTGACAAAACCTGTTGAATGAGTCAACAGCTAGAAGCCTATGGTGAAAATCACTCCATTTGTTTCATTCTTCTGTTTGTTAAATAGAAGTGTCTTAAGTCTTAACCAGATGCCAAGCCCTGTGCTTGCTGCCAAGGATAGAAAACACGAGTCAGGTCCCTGTCCTCAAGAGGACCACGGTTTGTGATAAAACAGACATGTCGGATATCATTGTCCAGTGTGATCACTGGACTAGGGGTGTCCGGAGGGGATGTCTAACCCGGGGAGGTGGGGACAAAGTTGTCAGGGGAAGGTTCCTAGAGGAGGTGGGGCCTCATCCAACTTCATTTAGAGTCTGTGTCTCTCCAACCATTGGCATGGAAGTACCACGAAGGCAGAGATTTTGGTTTTGTTCACTGCTGTGTCCCCAGGACTTAAAAGACTACCTGGTACATGGTAGATGTTTGATAAATTTATGTTGAATGAATGAATGAAACAGGCAAAGAAGAGGAAAAATTGTGGTCAGAGGCTTGGAGGCAGGAGATCACGTGGCTCCTCTGGGTTCCTGCATCCCTTGTTTTTCTTTCAAGAAACCCAATCACTCTACAAAGGACCTCACACCTCACAGAGGCTCTCATACCCCATGTTAGTTTCACAACAGCCCAGTGAGGTGAGCTGGGCAGGTACACCTCTCCCTATTCACCCATGGGAAAACTATTTTTGTTTTTGTTTTTGTTTTTAAGAAGCCAACAAATCTTTTTCAAACACCTGCAAAGTTACTGGGAGGAAGGCATGATGCTGGGCACCCTGTCAGTCTATCTTCTCCATGACATTCTTGGGCTTAATGCTCTCTTCCTGGCTACAGATGGAGATCTTGTCTAACTTGTCGGGACTCCAGCCACACTGCTCATTCACACCTTTAGCTTGCTGCCTGTCAGATCCCCCAGCATCTCGGCCAGCAGCCAGAGATTGAGGTGCTGATGAGTGATGCCCTTGACATGGCAGATTTCGAGTCTTTGAAGCCGGTTATACCTTCCAAGAGATCCATGTTTTTATCCAGGGCTTACTAGGAGGCCTCGAAGTGGCAGGTCCCCAGCAGGTCTCTGAGGGACAAAATCTGCCGGCTGGGCCGTTCTTCCTGCTGCATTGCACAGCGTGAAGTCGGTGTGGGGCAGGTTGGTGCGGGTCTGTAGCAGGATCTGGGCAGTGACCGTGGTCTGGAAGAAGGCTGGGTATACAGCTTCAGCACAGCTGGATTGGCTTCCAGATCATAAATATTCTCCTTGGCCTGCGTCTCCTCATAGTGGTCTGGGGTGGCCAGGTTCTCAGGATCGTACCTGTCCATCCCCTTGAGTGACTTCCCTGCGTTCGCTCTCACCTGCTCGAACATCACCATGACCGCTGCGGCCTCCCACACCGGTGATGGAGCCGAAGACCCTGCCGGGCTGCATCCTGGAGAACTGGAAGAGTGGGGAAACTGATCTTTAGAGAGAAAAAGTGTTCGACCTGTGGTCCATGGCAAATTGATGACCTTGCTGAGAGGAGAACTCAGGTCTCCTGGCTCTGATACCTGGCTCTAACCTGCTCCCCTGGGGGCAGCTCTGCCCTCCAAGGACCGACAGGGCTGCGGTGCTCAGCGGAGCTGGGTGTGTTGACCTTCACATTCGGAGAGGGGACCCAGAATCAAGGTGAAGAGAAAGATCCCGGTCCTGAGAATGGAGATGGTATAGTAATAGGAACAGTGAGGAAGAGGAGGAGGAAAATTAGAACTTTTCCATTGTGCTCAGCTGCTTCAGTCGTGTCCGACTCTTTGCAACCCCATGGACCATAGCCCTCTAGGCTCCTCTGTCCATGGAATTCTACAGGCAAAAATACTAAGTGGGTTGCCATTTTTAGGAAGTCCAGTTGCTATTCAGTTGCTACGTCATGTCTGACTCTTTGTGACCCCCATGGATTTCAGCACGCCAGGCTCCTCTGTCCTCCACTGTCTCCCAGTTTGCTCAAATTCATGTCCATTGAGTCGGTGATGCTATCTGACCATCTCACCCTCTGCCGCCCCCTGCTCCTTTTGCCTTCAATCTTTTCCAGCATCAGGGTGCTTGACATCTGTTTCCTCATGGATTCCTCACCACAGCCCTATGAGGTGGATATTCTTCTCCCGATTTAACAGATTAAAAAACTGAGCTCAGAAAGGTTAATTCACCTTTGAATTGTTTGAGGCCATGCTGCCAGTTTGTGGTAGAGCTGAATCATAAGCCAAGTCTGTAGAGCTTTTTTTCTTTACCATCTTTGGTCATCTGCAAAGAGCAAAGGATGTAGGACAGGTGTGATGCTGTGATGCTGTGTGCATGCTGGGAGCCAGGAGGACCTCAGAGCCCTGGCCGGGAGGCACTGTCAAGACCAAGCAGATTGGACCCCAGAGTCTAGGGGTTTAGGCCCACGGTTCTGGCACAGAGCTTCTCTTGCTGCCATAGCTGTCACACAACAGACACATAATGCTAGGTGCCTAGCATAGCTGGGTTATACGTGGAACCCAAACACCCAGCCTGCCCCATTTATTGGGAATAAATGGGGGCACATTAATAGCAACTACTTCACTGCAACCCAGCCTTGAAATCATCCTCAATTAGTTCTCCTGTATCAGTTGAGTATTTTGGTTCATAGCCCATGGCCCTAAAGTCAACCAGACTATGTTCAACTCCCTCTGCCTCTCTAGCTTGCATCTTGAGCAAATTCCGTGGCATGTCTCAGTTTGTTTCCTTACCTCCTTTACAAAATAGGACTTGGAACAGACGTGGAGTTGTTACGGAGACCTTAGCAGACCGTGCCTGGGAAGTGATTAACCCAGCACCTCGCCCAGAGAAAGAGTTGGATGAACGCAGCTGTCAGGAGGGTTTTTCTGAGAGGTTCCGGGGATGGCTCTGTGGGCTCCCAAGCATGTCCCCATCTGCCTCCATGGGAAGACAAGGGTTCGCAAGCCAAGGGTGTTGTGTCTTGTGGGGCTCCCCCAGTGCTGGGCCAGCAAGTCACACCTACAACGCGTTCTGTTCTCAGCGACGAGAAGGGTGTCCCGCTCACGCCCCGGTGCCGCTCTATCAGCAGAGGGTGAAGGAGCTGAAAAGGCAGCTCGTGCCCTCCCATTCATCAGAGCCCTCCACGGAGGCAGCTCCTTTGACTCCGACAAGTGGGCGCGCTGAGCGGCCTGACCCCGTGACTCTTATCCAACATCATGGGCACTTCATCCTCCTGAGGACTCCTCCGTCCCCACACACATGGGCCTGAGGGGTCCATGCTAACCCCTAATGTCTGAACCTCAGCAGACTTAACACCTACTTCTGGCCACCCCAAATCTCCCAGGCTGGGTAGACAAGACTCCAATAAGGGATAAGGCTGAAGACCTTTAAGGGACAGAGAAGGTGTTGCAGGAGCACAGAGCGGGGAGTTTTTCCTCTGCCTGGACCAGGAAAGGCAATCTCACCACATCACTAATGACTCAACCTGCTCTGTGCCTCCTCAGACCCCCAGTTTAGCCTATCAGATCTTCTCTGATGCAACCCCTGCCCAGGCAACCACATCTCCATGACCTCACTTCATCCTGCCAGAGGAGGTGGCAGTTTTATTACACAGAAAAGGAAATAAGGCTCAGAGATTTTAAATGATTTTCTCAAGGTCACAAAACAAGCTAGAATTTGAACCCAGACCCCACCCCAGAGCCTGTGCTCAAAGAATCACAGAATCACTTTAAAAACTAAATGAGCAGGTCTTCCCTGGTGGCTCAGTGGTAAAGAATCCTCCTGCAAATACAGAAGACACAGATTCGATCCCTGATCTGGGAAGAACCCACACGCCGTGGAACAGCTAAGCCCATGTGCCGCAACTTTTGAGTCTGTGCCCTGGAGCTCAGGGACCACTGAGCCCTAGAGCTCAACCATCAAAGCCCACGCGCCCCAGAGCCCATGCTCTGCAATGAGAAGCCACTGCAATGAGAGACCCAAGTTCTGCAGCAAAGAGTTGCCCCCACTGATGGCAACTAGAGAAAAGCCCATGCAGCACAGAAGACCAAAAAATAAATAAGTGAATACATCTATATATGTACATTGAAAAAAATGCCAAATGAGCAAATTGTAGGGGACTTCTCTGGCAGTCCAGTGGTTAAGACTCTGTGGTTCCACTGCAGGGGATGTGGGTTTGATCCCTGGGTGGGGAACTAAGATCCCACATGCTGCATGGCCAAAAAAACGAAGTAAAAGTAAAAAAAAAAAAAATTAAATGAGCCATTTGTAAAAACACTTTGGAAAGCCTATGAGGGAAATTAAAGACACCATTTGTAGTAAATATCTTTTAACTAAAAATATTTCCCTCATCTTGATCAAAACCCTCAAGGAATCCAAGAATAGTATCACCTCTAGATTTGGTCACTCTTAACAACACATCAGAGGCTTTCCAGGTGGTACAGTGGTAAAGAACCTGCCTGCCAGTGCTGGAGACACAAGAGACATGGCTTCGATCCCTGCATTGGAAAGATCCTCTGGAGTAGGAAATGGGAACCCACTCCAGTATTCTTGCCTGGAATATTCCATGGACAGAGGAGCCTGGTGGGTAAACAGGTCACAGAGTCAGACACAACTGAGCGACTGAGCACACACACACAACTCATCAAAGGAGACCAAAGGGGTCAACATGAGGTGTCTTACAGAACTGAGTGTCCTCCTTTCTGGACAGAGTGGGCAGGCACAAATTCTGGGACTGTTCTCTGTGGATTATGGCAATACCAGACTCTGCTCGGTCCTCCTCCAGAAGGAGCTGTCTAAAGCCCATTGCTCTGAGCAGCATCAGCAGTTGAGAAGGTATGCCCATTCAAGATGGGTTCTGGCAGCTCTTCCCAAAGTTTACTAGGGAACACTTAAAAGTAAGGGTATATTAGCAGAACACTGCCAGGAGGTGATCACCTCCAGGTTAAAGGAGACAGCCCAGTCGCTCACAAACCAACAAAGGTGTCACAAATTAACTGCTATAAGAAATGATCCAAAAATTGACTCCTATTTTGAATAGACAACAAGCATTGAGTATCACAGTCACATGCTGAAATTACAAATTGCAAAACATAGTAAAATGATCAAATAGCTTGACTGCAATTCAACATGTGGTTGGTGAATACATTCCTATGAAAGTGGAGAAATATTTGTTGAAACAATGCATATACACATTGGAGACTAGTTTGTGGAACTTGGAGGAATTTTTGATGTGTTAATTCAGGTCCTCTGAGAAGCCAGTGTCAAGAGGGGATTAGACGTGGGACTGATTTATTGGGGAAAATACCTGTGACGGAAAATGGGCAAGGAGCCCGAGGAAGGTGGGAGAGCGGGCAGACCACAGTGCAGGTGAAACCCCCAAGGAAGACAGAGGAAGGGAGGAAGGAGGGGTGGGCAGGAAATATTTTAGACTGAGGTGCAATTCTAGAAAAGTTTCAGCAGAACCACTGGGGAGTCCTCAATCCAAAACTGCCCATCACAGGGACTTCCCTGGTGGTTTGGTGGTTAAGACTCTGCGCTTTCACTGCAAGGGGAGTGGGTTCGATCCCAGGTTGGGGCACTATGATCAGTCCCACAAGATGCATGGCCAAAAACTAAAACAAAAAACCCAAACTGCCCATCACAAGGTCCTTTGTCTCCCAGGATGGCCTTGCCTTCCTGTCCTTGTCGACTCAGTCTCTGCCTGAGAGACACCCATGGGAAGTGTGCCCTCAGAGAGAATGTGGTGAAGGATTTCAGCCATGACGGTTGGGGCACAATCACCCGTGGGGATGGCATACCTTTTGTTAAAGGCGATATGTATGTCACAGCAAGACCCATCATAGAAACGTGTTTACTTTCTATTATGCACGTAATTTTCCAATGCATTTTAAAAGAAATAAATATCACTAGCCTCAATTTTGTCAGGATATTCCATGAAATCTCAGGAAACAGTTTGGAAAGTTCTGGATTCTGTGGATTCCTGACCAAGGGTAGGTAATTGGGATTGTGGAAAGAGGACGCAGGACAGAACTGAGAGATCTGGGTTTGAGCCCCATTCTGTCACTCACTTGCTGTTGGAGCGTCTTTAAGTCATTTGCTTAGTTTCCACACCTCAAAATGGGTACAGTGAAAAAGAGTTCTAGTCGTAGAACCTGCTACTCAGAGCCCCTTAAAGATAGACTCCTGGACAGAAGCTTCTACGGCAAAGTGGCTGCTTCAGTGGCATCAAAGTCCACTGGCCCTGCAACCCGACCTTGTGCCCGCCTGGGTGTGCCAAGCAGGGACCTTGTTCTCCACCATGCTCTGTCCCTGCTTCCTCCTAAGCAGACTGGCTCAACTTCCGGTCTTGTGGTTTTCCTTTGTCAGCTGTCATAGCAACCGG